ATTATATATTTAATTATTATATTCTAAGAATATTGGAAATATTAACCCTTTGCACTCGACGATCTTTTGGCTAAAGATGAGTAGGAGTTCAAAGATTTTCTGCTATAAAGCTGGCGATATTTCTTTCAGTAATAAATAAGAAATCGAATAACAATTAACACGTAGAATTATTTGATTTCGATAGCTCGCACACCGTTACATTATCTTAACTTTGACATATTAATTAATATCGATCTTCGAAATTGTATCTAATGGTGACTGACAGTCACCTCTCGAGTGCAAAGGGTTAAATTTCCATTTTTATTTCAGTACAAATAGTACCACCGAGGTTAGAAAAATGTTATACAAAGAAAGCTTCGAATTTTAGTATCTCTGTAACGAAGAAATCTTCGAGTGTGAAGGGTTAAATGACAATCTTGTCCCATTTCTCGATTTCCAAGCTAGAATTCGACATCACGACGTATCTCCGATGATTCCCCAGTGGTGTTGTAACAACACGGAAAATTGGACATAGAAATATCGCGCGAAATCCATCAACGATGGCCCCCTGTCCCCGAACGGATCGATCTCGAGCCACCCCCCGCGACGGACTCGCGCGAGACCCCCTTCCTTCCTCGGGAGGATCGGCGTGGAATCGCGGGGAGGAGTCGTTGGAATTTCCCGATAAAGTCAATTTCTCGGCTGGCAATTTCAGGATTTTCATTATCCGCGCAGCGCGACGAGGAGGGAAAGGTGGTCGGGGCTCGTGAAAGCGTTTCGCGTGCGATCTATCCGGGTCACAGTCGAGTGCACGGTAAACGAAGGAATTCTTTGCCGATAGCTTCGTTGTCGATTAATCCGTTTGTTCCCGCGCCGTTTATCGACAACCACTCGATTCGAGGCGTGTACCGTTGACAAAAGCAACGCGCGTTTCCTTCGGCGACGCCGTTCGAGAAAATCGCCCCCTCGCGATGGAAATGTCGCGATTCCTAGGCTTGAAGGAAATGTTCCGGGGTTCTGGGAGTAGCGGGAAATATTTGGAGTATTTTTAGGGATCTCGGGGAGTTTCTGAGGGACCAATCGAGAGGAAAATTTTGGTCCTGGATTGGAAGAAAATATTCTCGTTTCGTGAGCAGAAATAATTGTTACCCCTCTCGATCGCGAGAAAGATTCGCGTCTTGATTCTGAATAAATTTTCATTTAATTTTTGGAAACATTTCTGTATTAATCTTGAGAGGAATTTTCGTCCAAGTCTCGAAGAAAATTCTTGTCTTGATCCCAAGAAAAATTCTACTCCTAATTTTAAAAAATTCCTGTCTCGATTTCGAAGAAAATTCTTGTCTTGATTCTAAGGAAAATTCTTCTCCTGATATTGAAAGATTCCTGTTCCAATTTCGAAGAAAATTTTTGTCTTGGTAGAGAAATTATGAAGAGAAATTATCCTATCTATCTTCAAGAGAAATTATCCTCTTAGTTTTATAGAAAATTGTGCTGATTTTGAAAAATATTTTTGTTCCAAGTTCAATAATAATTCTTTCTCGGTCTCAAAGGAAATATTCCTGTCCTAATCTCAAGTATAGTTCCCCTCCTAATCCCAAGAAAAATTTCTACCCCGATTTCATGGAAGATTGTTGTCTTCATCCATAAAAGAAATTCTACTCACGATGTTAGAAAAGATTCCTGTCCCTATCTCCAAAATTTTTTTATCCTAATCTCAAAGAAGATTCTCGACCTAATTGCAAGAAAAATTCTTACCCCGATTTCATAGAAAATTGTTGTCCCGATTCTAAAAAATATTCTTACCCCGATTTAAATAAAAATTCTCCCTCAATTTCATAGAAAATTGTTGTCCGGATTCTAAAAAATATTCCTACCCCGATTTAAAAAATAATTCACCCCCGATCTCGTAGAAAATTATTGTCCGGATTCTAAAAAATATTCCTACCCCAAAATAAAAATAATTCTCCCCTGATCTCACAGAAAATTGTCCGTATTCTAAAAAATATTCCTTCCCCAATTTAAAAAACAATTCTCCCCCAATCTCATAGAAAATTGTCCCGATTCTAAAAAATATTCCTACCCCAATTTAAAAAAGAATTTTTCCCTGATCTCATAGAAAATTGTCCCAATTTTAAAAAATATTCCCACCCCGATTTATAAAAAAGTTCCTTCCCCAATTTAAAAAAAATTCTCCCCCGATCTCATAGAAAATTATTGTCCGGATTCTAAAAAATATTCCTACCCCGATTAAAACAAAAATTCTCCCCCGATTTCATAGAAAATTGTCCCGGCTCCAAAATATATTCCCATCCCGATTTAAAAAGGAATTCCTTTTCCAAATTAAAAAATAATTCTCCCTCGACCTCATAGAAAATTATTGTCCGGATTCTAAAAAATATTCCTACCCCGATTAAAACAAAAATTCTCCCCCGATTTCATAGAAAATTGTCCCGACTCCAAAAAATATTCCTATCACAATTTAAAAAGAAATTCCACCCCGATTTAAAAAAATATTCCACCCCAATATCAGAGAAAATTCTTGTCCTGATTTTTGTCCACTCTGGAAATATTCCATCCCCATCTCGAGATAAATTCCTGCTCCGATCACGAACTACGAGATCCCAATGCAGTAGCAACGTCTGTTAAAATAATTTTCCGAGAAATTAATTACCTACCTCTCGCTGAGTTCGTCGAATTTTGCGAACAGCTCGTTGAGGATCTTCACCAGCTCGCTGGCGCTGTAGGTGGACGAGATGGCGGTGAATCCGACGATGTCCGCGTAGAGGATCGACACGTTCTCGTGCCTGGACATGTAGATCTTCTTGAACTGGGTGTTAAGGGTGGCGCCGAGGTCCTGTCGCATCTTCACAGCCACGTGTTTCGGAAGCACGCTGAGCAGCAGCCTCTCCTGCTCCGCGCTTTGCTCCTCGATCACCAGTTGCACCTCTAGACTCTGTCTGGTCTCCAGGAAGGTCCTACGCTGCTGGAACTCCGTTATGGAGTAACTAGAAGCGCCAAGAAGCATGGCGCCCAAGCACAGCGTCACTGTCAGCACCTGGAAGAAAGCATCCCTTAGCATTTACGGAATAATCGTTATCTCGAGGAATTAATATTTACGTTCTCTTATTTTCTTCTGAACATTTGCAAATTTTGACAGATTTTTTCAATAGGATCCAATTTTTTTTATCTTTCGTACTAGATTTAATTATTGTAATCTAAATTAATCATTATAATCTAATCTAGATTATAAATAATAATTCTAATCTTATTATAATCTAGATTTAATTATTACAATCTAATTACAATCTAAATTAATTTCAATTATATTAGAATTACATTCTTTTAGTTCTTCAACGTTTGCGAATTTTTGGCAGATTTTTTAATAGGGTCTATGTTTCTATATTTGTCGTTTTAGATTTGTATATTAGGTCTTGTGATCGAGTCTTTAGTTATGTGATTTTTCGAGTGACGAAATTGTCGCTATTTTTTCTTTAATTTTAAAGTTTGATACACCATACGCGATATTTTTGCACTTCGATTAAGAAATTTTGGTTTCTTTTTGAATAATCCGATGTTTGAGCTGACCATTCGTCAAATGGATTTATTTTAAATACAAAGAGTTAAGTAAACATAGAATATTTTCCCAATGGAATATTAAATAATTCAAAAAGTGGAGTTTATCAGGTTAAATACTTTTTATAAATACTATTACACTAGATGCACGTCTCGAATGAATTCTAAAGTATCTTACAGTACGCAAAATGAAATTTAAATTTAAATTAAAAAATTATTCTTCACCTATTATACTTCGTAATTATAAAAATACGTATTAAAATGCGTATTAAAAAATTTGTAAAATGACCACTTGTGTTGTTTTATTATTAAAAACGATATTTACACAGCACGTGCATCAGAAATTATTCCAGATGTACATGTTGCGTGGACATATAATTATATTAAATAATTTATGGAGAAATATGAGATTAATAACGATTAAAAAGACGTTGAGAAACGATTATCGGCGATGTATGAAAAGTTATTCCAGTTTTTGTTCTACAACGATCCCAGGTCGATGTGACACAGTGATTTCTCGTTTCTTGAATAACAAAGCACGGCGATTAGAAAGTAAAATGAGTAAACAGTCATTTTGCAACGCTTGCAGTAAAAAGATGCATTTTTGTTTGTGTGTTTATATCATACAAAATTCCATTAACGTGCGTTAACGAATAGATAACGAAGAAATCGCAATTATTATGTAACGGCATTACTGCATTAATTAATTTTATTACTCGTTTAATTAATCAGGAAGGAATTGCATCTACACACCTTCCTGGAATTCGTATTTATTAAATATTTTGTAAAAATAAAATTTAGCATAGGTTATACTAAATTGCACAATTTTCTAAATTGTTACCCCATTTTTAGTAATTTTATTACTCGTTTAATTAATTATGAAAAAATTTTGTCCACACACCTTCCTGGAATTCGTATTTATTAAATATTTTGTAAAAATAAAATTTAGCATAGGTTATACTAAATTGCACAATTTTCTAAATTGTTATCACATTTTTAGTAATTTTATTACTCGTTTAATTAATCAGGAAAATATTTTATTTTATCCTAGAATTCATATTTATTAAATATTTTGTAAAAATAAAATTTAGCATAGGTTATACTAAATTGCACAATTTTCTAAATTGTTACCCCATTTTTAATAATTTTATTACTCGTTTAATTAATCAGGAAAAAATATTGTGTATATACACCTTCCTGGAATTCGTATTTATTATATATTTTGTAAAAATAAAATTTAGCATAGGTTATACAAAATAGCACAATTTTCCAAATTGTTATTCCATTAATTAATTTTATTATTCGGTCGTCTAAGAGGAAGAATTTAATTTGCACACCCTCCAGGAATTCGCAATTTATTAATTATTATTTCAAACAAAATTTAGTATAGATTACATAAAAGTGCAGAATTTATTTAATTATTGACCAATTAATTAGTTTTATTATTCGTTTAATTAAACAGAAAAAATTCTGTATTTTCAAAATTTAGTACAAACTGTTTAAAAGTATAGCCATTTTCCAAATTTCTACTTCGAATTTGTATTTCCTATTCTTTCTGAAAATTCACCTAGGATTGCCATACACATCATACAACTTTTCCAATTTCTACCCCGTTAATTAATTTTATCAAACTGTAGATCTACACCCCCTCTTCATACACCCACCCGTGTAAATCGAAATTTTTACGTACGTGTCTAAAATTCAGTTGGAACTGCTATACAAAATCATAAAACTTTTTCAATTTCTACCCCGTTAATTAATTTCATCGAGTTAGATCCACACACCCTCTTAAGACATACATTTCCCACTCACCCTCGCAAATCGAAATTTTTAAGTACGTATCTAAAATCCAATAGCAGTTGCTACACAAAATGGTGCCATCTTTTAAGTATCTAGCCCACCAATTACTTTGCTGTTGGCCGATCGTCCAATTTAACAAAACGAGATCGACCAACCCACCCCTCGAAACTCCCTCATTCCTTCTTCTTCCTTTCCACGCAAATTTGCTGAAAAGTTATAGAAAATCTTACTTTCCGAATTTCTGCCCTGCCAATTAATTCCATCGAACGACCCAATCGAAGAGAACGAGTCTAGCTCTTTCAATCTCGCCCGTTCCACCCCTTTTCCACCCCTCAGCGTTCACCCCAGCGATAAATTACTCGCCGTGACCAGGATCGTTCCTCGCCGATTCCGGGTTAACCGCGACTCCCACTGGCGACGTACCCGGACAATTAACACCGGAATATATTCCCACCCTGTCGACTCGTCGTTCCTGAACACCCCGAGACGAAAAGCAGGGTGGAGAACTCCCGGAGGACCGGTCGGCACCCCATTTGGGCGAGCCAGTCGGCACGATCCTGGACCACAGGGCTTTGCGGAATGCTCGAAATCTCGGAAACACCCCCCTGTGGTTCCTCCTCCCCCTGTTTTCCAATTTTCCACGATCCACGCACGGGTGCACGCCGCGAAATGCTTGATCCCGCACGCTCGATGGCGCCCCATTCAGCGAGCGCTTTTGTCGCAATCGTTTGTCCCTGTTGACAATAGAGCCATGATAATTGAATCATCCATGGTGGAGAAATTAGCGTGGAGAACGCTTTTGTCCACCATCCAGCCGCTCGATTTAAATATTATCGAGCAATTACAGTCTGCTGATCTACTGTACCACGAATGGTAGCGTGTCTTTGCCATTTGTTGGATCTCCTGGATCATTCTTTGGTGGTTAAATGGGATTATTGGGGTGGTTTTAATTATCTTGTAATAATTTTATATTAATTATTTTATTTCCAATTATTTTATTTCCAATTATTTTAAGGATCTTGTGGATCATTCTTTGGTGGGTAAGTGGGATTATTGGGGTGGTTTTAATTATCTTGTAATAATTTTATATTAATTATTTTATTCCCAGTTATTTTATTCTAAATTATTTTAAGGATCTTGTGGATCATTCTTTGGTGGGTAAATGGAATTATTGGGGTGGTTTTAATTATCTTGTAATAATTTTGTATTAATTATTTTATTCCCAATTATTTTAAGGATCTTGTGAATAATTCTTTGGTGGTTAAATGGGATTATTGGGGTAGTTTCAATTATCTTGTAATAATTTCATATTAATTATTTTAAGGATCTTGTGAATAATTCTTTGGTGGTTAAATGGGATTATTGGGGTAGTTTCAATTATCTTGTAATAATTTCATATTAATTATTTTAAGGATCTTGTGGATCATTCTTTGGTGGTTAAATGGGATTATTGGATTGGTTTTAATTATCTTGTAGCAATTTGTTATTAATTATTTTATTTCCAATTATTTTAAGGATCTTGTGGATCATTCTTTGCTGGGTAAATGGGATTATTGGGGTGGTTTCAATTATCTTATAATAATTTTATATTATTTATTTTGTTCCCAATTATTTTAAAAATTTTCTGGATTATTCTTTTGCGGTTAAATAAGGTTATTGTGGTAGTTTTAATTATCTTGTAATAATTTGATATTAATTATTTTATTCCCAATTATTTTAAGGATTTTCTGGATCATTCTTTTAATAATCGTGTAATAATTTTATTCTTGATTATTTTGGTATTCATTGTTTTAAGAATTTTCGTTATAAATTTAATATTTTTTGGAAGTATGTATGTATAGGAATGGTGCTTACTGAAATTGTCTCGTAAAATGTCTATATATTCGTGTATGTAGGTGTACAAAAATTTTATATATCTTTCAAACATATTCCGAAATCAAAAACAAGATTATATTATCTTTAGTGCACGTGAGTTATAAGTCGATGATTAGAATTCTCGTAATTCGAATGTAAATTATCCTGAACATTTCCGTCATTATTCTTACAACCATTGTAAAATGACCACAAAATAGTACTAATTTTATCAGATATAAAATGGTCACAAATATATGTACACGAATAGATGATTTATCCAAAGTTCTCCAACATGGACCCAAGAAGTACATCAAGAAAGTTTGACTATTGAAATTTAGGACACCCTGTATATAGCAACAAATATTTTTATACAACGACGTATATTCTTTTCTGGATATTTTCTCCCATTCACATCGGTGCATCATTGCACCCCTGTTCGCGCACGCTGTGTGATCCGAGGAAAGGGTTGTTGGAATCAGAATTAACCCTCTGTTAAAGGGTTCGTTGGACAAGAATGATTGCAATTGTCGCTGCAATGGATGCAGTGTACTCGTTCCATGATCGAGTCGATGGATTTGAAAGAAACGTTCCTGCCATTGAAAACCGATCGTATGTCGTGCATGGAAAGGCGGCATGTCGCGTCGTTGCGCATCTCTCTGTCTCCAGCTCTCTCTCTCTCTCTTCTCTTTCTCTCTCTTCCTCTCTCTATTTTAAACAACCATTGACCGAACTCTACTCGAGCGTCACTAACGATAGAACCACGTGCAACAGCACTTTCGCTTTCGATCTCGTCTAGGAAAATTTGTAACGGGGTCCCCATAGCAGCGA